TTTTATTACCCAAGGAACTTCCAAACCCTCTTTTTCTCCTTTATAAGGTCATCTGAACCCAGAAAGCACTGGCCCCCCAGAGAAGCCAGCCGGGAAGTGTGGGCTGTGGGAATGAAGAGGTGAAGAGGTCTACGGTCCGTTTACTTGCAGGTGTGAGCCTGGGGCTGGTACTGCGTGGTGGGCAGCACCAGACTGGGGGTGGACAGGCTGGAGGTGTCGTCTCAGACACCTTAGGGAAAATTCCTTTCTCTCCTTGGGCCTCAGTTCCTCACCTGTGATGTGAGATGGATACGTAAAATCATCCTGATAACACCACCCAGAGCTAAAGGTCTTCGGGATTGTGGTTCCACGTTTTCTAAATACTCCCTACCTCTTCGATTCACCATCGGCTCTCCCATCTCCTCACCCTCATATACTCAACCCATCAGCAACTGCTGTCAATTTCAAAGTAGAACACGAATTCACCTCACCATTGCAATTTCCATCACTGTAACTTCCCCTGGACAGCCACAAGAGCCTCTTGCTCTGTCCCTCTGCTTCTGCTCTTGACTATTCTCTGTCCTGACTAATATTTCTCACTGCTCCCCAGAATTTTATTTAGCATGTATATCAATCCTTCCCTTGCTTAGAATTCTCCTATGTCTCCCACTGTATTTAGGATTAAAACTCCTAAGGCCATGGGGCCCCGCATTGTCTGACTGTTGCCTACTTCTCTAAGGTTATCTCAGATCCCTGTTCTTGTTCACTACGAGCCACACACGTGATCACATCCTTGAAAGCCCTAAGCATTTTTCCTTCAGAGGGCCTTTGCACATGGCTGTCATTTCTCTCACTTTAGATAAGCCTAGCTCTTTCTTACCTATCTGCTCCTCAGAACACCCTAAGTAAGTTCCCTTTAATTCTACTTCCTTTATTATCTATTGCCTCAGCGGGGTCATTCTATTCATAGCACATCAAAATTTATACATTCACAACTGCTCATTTAATGTCTGTCTTATACCATTATATTTGCCAGCTCCTTAAAGCAAAGACTCCTATCCCCCATGCTCTATCATCAATATATCTTCATATCCTCAGCACCGAGCACCAGTGCAATTAGTAGTATCTGCTGAATAAATGAATGGCATTGGTCACAAATAGGAGGAAAAGGTACGGAAAGGGAAAGTCGGGAGAACTAAAGATAAATTTGCCTGTGATGATTTTTGTCCCTCTTTTAATACTACATCCCTTTACAAAGTGTCCGTCTCTATGGAAAAAGAATAGTTCGTTGGGTACAAGAAGCAGGCCTACAAAGTCTGTGTATGGTGACTTTTTTATCTCACCGTTAATGTAATGAAAAAGATTATAATCTGTGATCACACCTAAACTGAGTTTTAAATTTGAATGTTCAAACAGGTCATACCAAACCAGTTTCTCATAGAAACATTGTAAAGTTCAGAGGGAGGAGTCCTTGAAGCATTTCAGTAGCATTTACTGGCACACAGCATTGAATGTGTTCATTTTAGGTTATTTTATCTATTTGTAGTGCTAGTGCAGAAAACCTTGACTTTAGGCAGTGTGGCCAATGCTGTTGGTTGACTCTTCAGCATTCATTCCCATCCCTTCTACCCTAGAGGCAGGAACACCTAGTCTTGCTTCACTGGCTTCCTTGCTACTAGATGAGATTATGGGCCACTGTTCAGACTAATGCAGTAGAAGCTGATGTCTGCTTGGGGTAGATAGTTGTCTGTTTAGCTTTTTTTTGCCTGAGCCAAAGTGACATTAATAACCGCAGACACTTCTTGCTGCTTGAGCATAGACATGACATCTGGGAGCCACCCTCTTGCAGACATGAGAAAAAGCCAAGAGGATCATGACACAGCAGGTACTGATTTCCCTGAACCACGAGCCCCTGCCCACCTCTACTTTTCTCATAATGTAAGAAGGAGAGCTCTACTCATGTTGCCATGGTCAGCTTACTGTATCGCCTGCAGAAACCACATTTGACTATATTTGTTGGCTTTTGGTTAATAAACATTAATATAAACTTTAAAGAGATTAAAAAGATTAAAGCTACGTGTGTATGACTGCAGATTCCTGCAATGCAGATGGATTTGAGCTCCCCAAACTCTAAATTAGTGAGGATTTATGATACATTCTTTAAATAAATGCAAGAACAACTAATTCAAGCTCACTTAAAAGAATGTTTGGTGTATACAAACCCCTTACAAGTACCTTCTGCCAGAGCACCCAGTGTGTCTAACGTAGTGCTGTCCACATCGGGAGCTCATGAAGCTTGCTAACTTCATGAGAACGTATGTAAACAGCAGCAACAAGGGCTTCTGTCGGTGTTTGCAGCTGTTTGCTTGCTCTCTGGCTCTGATCTGTGTCTAAGCATCTCTGGCTTTTTGCCTGACCCTAGTGAGAGAAGTACATGTGTTTTCTCTTCAGCATGTGTTTCTAGGAAATGCGGTGATGCATATTCTGACTGTTGGGGGTTTTCTTTCAGGCCCCAAAGCTCTAGGATTGGACAGGATAGGCCTGATAAGGAAAAGTCTACCTCAAGTGGATAAAACTCCTGATTCCGACAGGTTCACTCCTGTGTCTGTTGGACCCTTTAGTCCCCAGTGACAATTCCTTTCTCCCAGTTCCTGTGAGGAGGAGCCTCAGGAATCCAAGTATTGCTGGTCTCTGGAGTGAACCACTGGCTGCTTCTGCTTTACTCCTTGACTTCCCCAGAAGAATGAAGTCTAGTGGCCTCCAAATCAGTGTGAACACCCTTTCTCTAGTGAAGTTTAGTAGAAGCCCAATATTGAAAATAGACAAAATAATAAAAAATAATGTCTGCTTCTAATGCTTTCTATGTGTTGGCTGGAAACTATTTGTATTAATATTGCAAACCTCACAACAATACTCGAGGTTGTCTCCATTTTGCCAGTGAAAACTAGGGGAATAGGGTGGACTTGTTTAACACAGATCAGGAGGAGGGAGGTACATATGACTGGTGAGCCTGCTCTTCACCTCGGTGTCAGTTCCTAAGATACCCTAGTGTAATCCTCACAAGTCCCGGAAGCACAGTTGGAAAATCCTCTTGCAGTCACAGGTCACAAACCCAACCACCTTCCCAGGGGTCATCTGTGTAGCAACGGAATGAAGGGGGTCAGCTGAGGGCTGTGGTGAGGTAGGGAATGCATGGACCAGCTGAATGTGGCAGCTGACGCTCAGGTTTGGATAACCATTGCCAAACTGTGAAAGAATAAATGAAAACATAGCCTGGCAGAGGATTTAGCTTGAGGACCACCAATGTGACACCTTTGGAGGAATGGTGGGAAGTAGGAAAACACACCCTGAGGTCAGACCACAGGAGCACCCTTAGGAGGTGAGATGCCCACTAATGTAGTAATGGAGAAACAGGCCTGTGGGTGTTTGCAGACACATGCCTATGTTGATGACCCTACCTTGTGCTGACTGAAGAGAAATTTCATCCCACAGTTTATCCGCTGGCCTGCTTTATTTTTAAGCAAGCCCTCCCCTTGTTTGGTTCTATCGGCTCTTCACCATGTGTCTGCCAGTATTGGCCAAGCATCCAGTCTCACACCTCCTCTCCCACGCACCTCTCCCCAGCCCCCTACTGTCTTATTTAAAGAAAAACAAGATTATTATGGTGAACAATGAGACTGTCTAAATTATACAGCAAGCAAAATGAGTCCTGAGGGAAGCTCCTTAGGGAGATTTTATTCCATTGCCACTCAGGAATATTGGTTCTCATCAACACTTGAGTGGAAAACAGGTGGTAAAGATGCCTCCAGCACCTGTCCATGAGGTCTTGGTATTTATGCAGTTATGCTCCTAGAAGCCAGAGAGGGTACATATCTATCCGCAGCAGTCAAATTCTAAGCCATGCCCCACTGCATGCTTTAGTAACTTGGTAATCTACAAGAGGCTGCCTATTGGAAAAAGAGTTCATAGACATTAAGCAACTGTGAAAGGAAATACAGCCAGTGCTTATTTATCAGGTAAATTGGAGGAGATTTGTGGCAAGAACATTCCAGAATGTAGTTGAAAGAACATTATTCGCAAAGATAGCACGTCAATAAACATGGGAATTAGTCTAGATTGGTAGTTTTACCCTCCCTTTGCTTTCCACCCTTCCTTTATTTTTTTCTTAGCTTCAGAATCCTTTTTTCAAAAGAAATAGTATTCACAAGTTGAATACTATACAAATCAGACAAAAACGGAGCCACTCTGTGGAGGGCTGACACCTGACTGATTTGCTCAGCCTAGTACCCTCAATGCAACACCTGAGGCACCTCAGAGAAACCCCATTTCCGAACAAGAAAGAAATTTACATCACTAGTAGAACCAAATAACTTCCAAGGTCCTTCTCAGAATCAGGAAAAAGAGAACCCTATTCTTTTAAATTTGAAGAAACAGAACGCTTCTTGGGTCAGGTGACCTGGCCAGGGCCACACAGAGATGCTAGAACCGGTGCCAGGACCCACTCATAATTCAGTGCTCTTCTGCCCTCCAGAAATAGTATAGCATGGTGTTCTGATCTCAGCTCACTGAGCTGCGAGCTGTCAGCAAGATATTTGACATTTCTGTAGTTCCTCGTTTATAAAAGGAGATGTAACGAGAGTCCCACCTTATGCTTTCTTTAGATAATGCAGGCAGAGGACTCAAAATCTTGCTTGGCATATGGTAGGTGCTCAGTAAATATCAGTTGTACCATACTGTCCCTGCATCCTTTCTCTGCCTGTACCCTTTAGGTACAGAACATTGGTGTTGTGATCGTGCCCATTAACCTTGACAGTGCACATCAGCCACACAGCAGGCAGAGCTGGCCCGGACAATGATGTGTCCAGATAACCCACAGCAAGCAATGGACAGCTGACTGGAAGCACAGTTGAAAACCGAATACAATGAAGTTTGGAGGTAATTCCTGTCCCTTCACTTTCCAATATTTGATTTTCCAAGGAATACACAACATCGAGCAAAGGGGTTGAGAAGTGCTGACTGACCTGGGAGAAATGTCACATCCTTGTTGCATGAAGGCTCCCAGGGAGAACCACAAGCTGTTGAATATCCCAAACTCATTGGACTGGTCACTGGTCGTCTGGTCCCGCCCTTCCTCAAACTCTTCACTGTGCCATTCATAGGGGCTGAAGCGGCTGACCAGGAAAAGGACGACACTCACTCCGATGTAGGCAAAGACGATGCACATCCAAATTTCATAAGCCAAAGGGTCAAGGAAGGAGAAGACCCCGGGCTTGGACTTCTGTGGCTTTTTTATCATGATGGAAATCCCCAAACTCATAAATGGCTTGGAGAAGTCTATCACCTCTTCCCGGACCAAGGTGATGGTTAAAGGGGCCACAGCCACATCTGCTCTCTGCAAAAAGAGAGAAGAGAAGATGCAGTTGAGCCCAGCAGTGCTCTGTTCCCTTGGTCCTCTCTTCACTGTGAATATTCTTTTGTATCTTAAAGGATGTGAAAGTTGGAAGGAACCTGAGAAGTCCAACCCCTCCTACTCTCTATAAAATATCCCTGACAAGTGGATGATCAGCTCAGTGTCTTACAGGAGAGATTATCCCATTGTTTGTCAGTTCTAACTGTTCAGGGAGCCTTCTCACCTTCCTAGAAGGGGAGCTTTTGTGGTGACTATTGTTCTGCCTCTCCAGCAGCCATGCCTCCTTCCTCTGGGGAAAAGTGACTCCTGCCCCACTCTCAGTCCTCTTGGTTCAGGGGCTGGTCACCCTGGTTACATGGTAAAGCACATGGCCCCAGGTTGGGCCATCAGTGTACTCCCTTCTTCTGGCTAGAACGATTCATTCAAGGGTAGCCAAGGACCCAAGTCTGTTTAATGTGTCCTGAGAGTCAGAGTGAGAGATGCAGAGGCTGATCCATGACACAATTTGGGTCACCCTAAATTCAGGGGTTGCCCAGGACTCCCTAAGAACATGTGTCAATATAGTCTTCTACTTGTCCCCAGGAGCATGAACCAATCCTTCTGTTTGACTAAGCCAGTTGAGTTCAGTTTCTTTCACCTGCAACCAAGATAGTCCTGGCTAACAAGGCAGTGAAGGCAAACCTAATTCAATAAACATTTATTGGGTGCTTATTATGTGCAAGCGTTGAACTGAAAGCAAACTATGGTCCCTATACTCAGGAAATTACAAACTAGGAGGAGAGATTGGTACACACACACACACACAAACACACACACACACACACACACACACACACAATTTTCAGTACGAGGCAGGCTTTCAAGAGAAACAAAATGCTACAGGAGATCAGGGGGAGATTAATTGGCTGAGGAGATTAGAGGCTGCCTCATCAAAGAGGTGACATATAAGTTTGGCATTGAAAGAGGGGTAGGATTTTGACAGGTTGTTCTAGCATATAGCACATTCCAGGAGGAGGGAATCATGTGAGTAAAGGCCTGGCAGAGAGAAGGAAAAGCAGCATCACAACTATTTTTTTCCAAGAAGACTGCTAAGAAATACACAAATGATTCAATTAAAAAAATTCAAATCTAGCATGTAGCTAAACATAAGAAGGCTGCAAGAAATGCTCATCCATGGTTATCCAGCATGTGGAATCACCATGTTCTTCTGTCTTTCTTCTAAGGGCAGAAGCCCTGGCATCTATATAATGAAAATCCATTGCTGTTGGCTGAAGGTCAAGAGATCCTGGGAACCCAAGAGGGTTCCACGGACAGATGCCATGACAATAATTTGAAATGAGAGACATATCTGTACAAGTTTGTACAAGGTGAATGACTCTCTTATGATGCACAGCGGTCCAGATGTGAGGCTGGTGACAGGTGCTGTGCAGACAAGGGTCCTGCTTAGCCACTGGTTGGTGTTGCTAAGATATTTTCTCTGGTTACTATCATTGTCTGGGATTATTGAGAAGGTGCTTTAAATGGAATAAAAAGATTGGCTTCAGAATGACTTAAGTTCTCACTCATAGACAGAAACTTTGCATAAAGCAATGTGGGTCAGGTGTGAATTTCATAGTAATTGTTTCATTTTTCCTAACACGCACTGCATAAATCTTCATAATTTTTACAAACACAAGACAGTGAAAGGGAGAAGATACCCATTCTTTTCTCTGTAACCTAACATAGAAAAAGAATAGAGGAGAAAATTGGAAGAGCTAACTTAGAGAGACATACTAGAGAGACATACCACAGGTTACCCAAAAGGGAGGTGAGTGAAGACCAGCTTTGAAAGTGATAATGGGAACTGAATGGATTTGTTTGATGCCTGCTGATGTGAGTTACTAAAAGGGACTGTGGACTGGAAAAAATTATAGAATCACATCATATTAGTGCTTAGTTTGTTCAGCAGTTTCAAGATCTGTTTCATGGAACATTATTTCTAGAAGGATGTTAATAAGTATATGAAAATAAACATTGGGAAACATGAATTTAAATAGATTACTTTGAGAACATCTCAGAATCTTTAAAAGACCATCATGCACCAAGAACTTCTGAGAGGAGTGAGCAGGAGCAGCATTTCAGAAATTACTTGGCTGTGGGTCCCTGCACATCGAAAGGACCCATGTGTGCAGGACACACACACGTGGAAGATGCTAGATTCTGTGACTGCATTTTATAGATGAGACGCTCAGGTTCAGAGAAAGAAGGTGGTTTGTGCAAAGCAGCAGTGTTTTAGCTTGTTTGACTCTGAGGGATCTTGGGAATTGATTTCCAGCATCTGAGGTAGTTACTGGAGCTCTAGAGGATCAGCTAAGGGCAGCGCTGGTCTGGGAAAGCCGACCTGGCTGCTCTGCTTTGGGATTTGCTGACCATGTGGCCCTAAGTTTCCTCATTAAAGAAAAACAGAGGTATAATAATTTTTTTGCTTTACCCATTTGACAAGGTTGTTTTGTGAGGGTCAAAATAATTCAAATAGATGAAAGTACTGTGAAAGTGAGCATTTCCCAGGCACTCAAAATTATTTACTTAACTGGTATCTTAGGATAGTGGCTCTCAAACATAAACATGCATCAGAATCATCTGGACAGCTTTTAAAAACACAGATGGTAGAGTTTCTGGGTTCAGTGGGTCTAGGGTAGGAGCTAAGAATTTGCATTTGTAAGTTCCCAGTTGATGCTGAGGCTACTGGTCCAGACATCACACTTTGAGAACCACTGATCTGGGAGATCCCAAAACAAAATGTGTTGTCTAGAAACAATTCTGGGGAAACAGTAAACGGTTTTGATGTGGTAGGTGAAAGCAAAAAATAAAGAAAACTCTTGGGGATGGAATCTCCTCTGAGTGAGGCACTGGATAGGTGAATACTCTCCACCCCAGGCCTGGGAGGAAGGATTCACTTCCCCTGTGGTTCAGTGATTACCCTCAGAGTCCAGTTAGCACCTGCAGGAGTCAGGGAGCCTGTATGTCGGCAGAGTCAGAACTCAAATCTGGGTGTCTGTAAAGTTCACTCTTTTTGTACTTCACTAAGGCCAAGAGCAGGCAGTACAGTCCCCTGGGAGTCAGGCACAGGGCCATACCCGTGCAAGCGCAGGAAGCAGAAACTTCACTTGCAGCGTGTGGCATCTGAGTGTGCAGACAGTATTCTCACTACCAGGTAGCAGCAGCCTTGCAGGCCAGTGCTGGACAGCATGACTTCTCCAGAGGCAGTACGTCCCAGCACAGAGTACAAAAGCCAGACTGTGTGTCCCGACTCAGCTTTTACCTGCTTTATGATCTCTGCCAAGTTACCTAACCTCCCGGGCCTCAGTGTTTTTATCTATACGATGTGGAAAATAATCATATCCACCTCATGGGGCCGTCATGCAGAGTGAATGAAATGATGTGGGTGAAGTATTCAGACTGGCACCTGGCGCACACTTTATGCTGAAATGCTGCCACTACAATTGATGAGAACAAGAGGGAGCAAAAGGAAGATGAGCAACCTTGACTGACTGACTGGTTACTTAAGAGGCATGGAAAGCGCACATTATGAGGCCTCCAAATGAGCTTGTGGCTGAGAGATAATTCCCCATACCCCTCTCTTCCTCCTCCGGGGAAGGGAAAACGAAAGGTGACCTGAGCATCCAGTGAGCATCCAGTGTGGCCCACATAGGGTTTGCAGTGCCATGTGTTCAGGCCAAGGACAGGTTTGCAGAGGGCTGGCAGCTGAGGCACCCAGAGGTGACTGGATTCTGTGATGAGCCAGGGGCCCGTCACTGACGGCTGGCTATTGGGCTCGCCCTCAGGGTGCTCACACCGCTGTTTTGTCCGGATCCCAGGCCTTTCACTAGGGAACTGCCTCCTCACATGGGGTGAAGGTGAAAATGAATGCTGGTGGAGGGGAAAAGTTCACAGCGGTTGCCATGGGCTCGGCGGAGGTTCCCATGGAAACCAGCATCAAGCTGCAGCATTAACCATACCAGTCTCTCCCTTTCAGCAGTGGAGCTTCCCAAAGTGAGAGGTGGTAGAGGGAGGAGAAGGGGAGGATGCACACCCCACTCCTCACCTCATTTACTGTCCTCTCAGGTCATCTCAGAGCCACCTTCCTGGGGAAGATTTTCTTTCTTTTGTGTCTCCCTTCTTGGAGTTCTCTCTGTATGGCTCTCGTGACCATCAGGACTCCTACTGACACGGTGAGATTTTAAAAAGCTCCTTAACTGCTGCTTCATCCTGACCAGCGCTCTCTTATCGGCTTGCAGCCTGGAGCACGCTTCTGCTCGAAGACCCGGCCTGGAGTCTCTGGGCACTGTGGGCGGAGCTGTGGTGTCCCCCTCCTGCAAAGGGCCGCTGGGTTCTCCTTACGTGGTGGCCCTTCGCGGTTCCTGTACTCGCAGAGCCGCTGACACCCCAGTGCCGGTTGCATCCTTCCCTTTGCCACTTCTGACTCAAACTCACCCCTGAGAACTCAACCCAAACCCTCTATGAAACTTAGCACTGTTTTCTCACTCTCCTTTCGCACCTGCTTATTTCTATCACCATTCTATGGTTTATACTTGAGGATTTCCTGGGCTGCCTTTCTGTCTGAATGTGGCCATTTTCAAGTTCCATATCCCTCTTGAGGGTTAGACAAACTCATGTTAGCCTCTTGCCTGAACCTTGATTCTATTCTGTCTTTTACTCTTCTCTGTCATTGTCTCTTTTAATTCATAAAATGTTAAGATCTTTAGGGGTAAGGATCAGGCTTCTCAATGATTTCCTCTAAATACTTAAAGCAATTTAGGCATTCCATGGCTTCTCAAAACTGCTTCAATTTATTGAAGATTTTATAGCCATCATTTATCGCATTATCCCAAGTGTAGTAGGTGATATGAATATGGAGTGGACCTGCCCCCATTACCCAGATAGCCATTGTACATGGCAGGGTAAGCCATAGCAGAAACTCAGTTCTATAGGCGAAGGCAAGAATGGTTAAAGAAGCAGAAACTAAATTCTGCAGGTGAAGGCAAGAATGGTTGAAAGGGGGAGGGGCGTCCATAGCTGTATGGGGAGAAAGAAATGACCCCTTGGAAAAAGTAGTATTTAATACAGGTTTTGGAGGAGGGGTAGCATTTTAGAGGTGCAGAATGGAAGGAAACACTCCAGAGAGCAGGGTGACTAGGGGTGGTTTGGCTGAAATAGGAGGTGCAGGAGAGGGAGTATTGGGGCAAGTGGTAGGAAGTTAGGTTGGATCCAGAGTGCATCTAGCCCCAGGGAAGGAATGTATACTGAGGGAGCTATAAGTGCCTTCAGGGGAGAGACGACTCAGCAATCTGCCTCAAGAGAGCTGATCTTGAAGCTAAACTATCACCTGTGTTGAATGATGATCAGCTGATGCCCCAAGACTGAGAGGAGTTTGGCTGAGGGACCTGAGACCAGGTGCCTGGACACAGAATATCCAAGGACATTGGAGTCTGGGCACTCATCTTCCCGGTAACAGCAGGGCTAAGTGATGGGGTCCAGTAGGTTCTGTGGGCAGGCCAACCCACCCCACATGGTTTCCTGTCAAATCCTATGCCCCTGCCCTCCAATCCCTCACCCAGTGGGGAACTTACTCCGTAGACCAGCTCCCCCACCATGCCATTCCAGGCCTTGGTGTCAGGGTCACGGGCTCCATATTTTCCATCACTGACGATCTCCAGACGGTAGGAATAACCCACGTGCTTGGCAATCTCTGCTGCCAGCTCCACACAGTAGCCCTCGTAGCGGTCGTTGCCCTCAAACTGGTTGGCATTCTTCTTGAGCATCACATAAGGGTCTTCCTGGTAGAGAAATGGGGACACAGAGAATGTGGGTCATGGGTTCACACATGGGTAGGGTGGACTTTGCCATGCAGAGGGAAATGTCAGCCACATTGGTTAACTTTGGGAAAGTCTCTCTAGCCCTTAAGTAACTTAGCAATACTAAGTTTCTGACGTCCTGCATTTCTGCTAGCCCCATTACAAAACTTCTTGGGTTAAGGAAGCAGACAAATAAGAATGTGTCATCATTAAATTAAAACCACAATGAGATAACACCTCACACCAGTAAGGATCGCCACAATCAAAAAGACAAACAACAACAAATGTTGGCGAGGTTGTGGAGAAAAGGGAACCCTCCTACACTGCTGGTGGGAATGTAAATTAGTTCAACCATTATGGAAAGCAGTATGGAGGTTCCTCAGAATGCTCAAAATAGAAATACCATTTGACCCAGGGATTCCACTTCTAGGAATTTACCCTAAGAATGCAGCACTCCAGTTTGAAAAAGACAGATGCACCCCTATGTTTAT